ATTTTGTTCGGTTTCACATTAACCAGACATATTAACATTTCATGAGCACATAAATATTTCATGGTGACACCATATATGCATATAATGCAAGGCAGAATTACAGCAATCAATAAGAATGCCAGAGACATAGTTAAGGCACTGTGTATTGCTATACAGCAAATTAAATGGCAATTTGAGTAATCAATATGTAAAGCAGCTTTGAAATGATCCTCAAACACACTCTCTGCAAGCATCACCTTTTAGCATTCGTCGTGCAAAATAAGGCAGAGCTGACATGTTACATTTCTGTATGAAAGGAAGACGGAAGGCCCTATACTACATCTAAATATCTGTAGGCAAATTTGACAAATATGGATCTTCTGTAAGAAACAGCAATGGTAAAAAGGGAAAGAAAAAATAAAAAGAGGCTCTTAGAAATACTCAAAGAGAAATCATTCCTAATCTTGGCAACAGATTTACAACATTCATTATTATATTTGTAATACTCTTTTCATGACTTCACAATTCATATCCTGTTCCACAGTAAAATGCTATAAACACAGCTGATAAGGGGATAATTGTAATGTTATTTCTTTTATCACTCTCGTTATGGAGGAGAAGTAAGCAGGGAATGGACATGTTTACTTCATAAACTGGTAAAAACAATAGCAGGGAAAGAAACATAACACACAGCTCTAGACTGAAAATACTACTGTACATCTACAGAGTATACCACTGGCTTGATTCACGTTCCTATCACAGCAGTTATTTTACAAGGGAAAGGAAAGTAGTGAGGAAGTCACGAAGCCCACACAACCTTCATTCAAATAGAGGTTTATCATTAATGCTCATGAAGTGGCTGTATCCTATTATCTTCCTCTTCCTTCCCCTCACGAATCCAATGAGCTGCAGATCCACCAGACATTTCACAATCGGCAGGTAGGTACAGTGGCTAAATTTTGCTTGGGGGAAACAAATATCCAAAGGCAGAAACCACGGACATTGCAGGAGAACTCTTTGCACCACAGAATCACCAAGGCTGGAAAAGTGTCGAGTCTAACCGTTAAACTAACACTGCCAAGTCAACCACTACACAACGACCCTAAGCACCACTTCTCCAGGGCTTTTCAATACCTCCAGGGATGGTGACTCCACCACTTCCCTGGGCAGCCTGTTCCAATGCTTTACAACTCTTCCAGTGAAGAAATTTTCCCTAATATCAAATTTAAAGCTGCCCTGGTGCAACTTGAGGCCATTTGCTCTTGTCCTGGTGCTTGTTACTTGGGAGAAGAGACCAACAGCCACCTGGCTCCACCCTCCTTTTAAGTAGCTGTAGAGAGCGAGAAGGTCTGCCCTCAGCCTCCTTTTCTCCAGGCTAAACAAGCCCAGTTCCCTCAGCCGCTCCTAAGACTTGTTCTCTAGACCCTTCACCAGCTTCCTTGCTCTTCTCTGGACAGATTCCAACACCTCAACGTGCTGCTTGTAGTGAGAGGCCCAAAACTGAACACAGTATTTGAGGTACAGCCTCACCAGTGCTGAGTACAGGGGCACGATCATCTCCCTACTCCTGCTGGCCACTCTATTCCTGATACAAGCCAGGATGCTGGTGACCTTCTCGGCAACCTGGGCACAGTGCCGAGTCATATTCCAACTTCCTTCACTCCTACCTCGAACCTGGTCTGCTTGACTGTCCTTTGCTTCAATATTAGGATCTACTTCTGCCAGTTTTTCATTACTTCAGTCCTCGGAGAGCTACAGAATTGGAAGGTCCAACATGGAATTGTGGCTTCTAATATTCTAGATGTTACATAGACAAAAAACAAAACCAGCTCACAGCAGGGGCATACTAAACGCTGCAGATCCTCTTCTCTTCTTCTGTTCTGCCCAATACCATGAGGCAAAGCAGAAAACCACCACGACGTATAGACTAAACATCAGTAACAACACATTTTTTTGTCTTTAGGGAAAAGCAAAAAAACTCAGACAAAAATCTCAGAAAAAGAAAACAAAACAAAAGAAAATTACTAAGAGAGGGCAGCCAGGAAAAGTTTAAGTCATGGGAAGACATTAATGAACGAGACAAGAGAGACAATTGATTTTTTTAAAAAGTACATTGTTCTTAGGAAAAAAAAAAAAAACAAACACCAAAAAACGAACAACTCAAGTGCAGGTCAGAAAAAAGGGACAAAACAGAGAAAGTGAGTGAGAAGCATAGAATGAGAACAAAATGATATCACAAGAATAATGAGATGAATTGACTAGCAGAAGAGGAGAGAGGAAGAGGTTTAAAAATGTTTTTAAAAATGCAAGAAGGTGAAATCTTCAGAAAACCAACGTTATCTATTTTCTTGACAATTCTACAGATGAAACTGGAGCCTATTAAGGCATAGGAATTTGACAGTGTTTCTAGCAGAATACAGATTTGTACAGTTTTTACTAAGTTACCAACTACATACATTTCTCCTCTCTTATTTACAAATTCCTGCTTTTTCCTGCTGTAAATGGAAAACAAAGATTTCCCAATTGCCAAACAAAATCAAAGAGTGATCAAAAAGAGAAATGAAGGCTGGATCGTATTTCCTGAGGTAGACATTTCAGGCAGCATTGGTCAACAGCTAGTGAGAGCTGAATTTCTTCTGGGATTTAGACATACCAATTGCCTCTGAAGCCAAAAGTCTTTTCAAGAAGTGGAAGGCAGCCCTCCAACACCTAAGTGTCCAACAAAGCATTTAGAGAAATACAGGAGAGAATATTCCTCCTTAGACAATATGTTAGGTGGTTGTTTTTAACTGTAAGGTCT